TGCGCTTTGGCGTTGCTATTTCACAGGCTGGTTTTGCCATGCTGGCACTACTTGCCCTTCTGGATTTCCGTTGCCTTTTGCGCTTTGCAGCAACAGATGTCTGGGCATTTTGTGCTTCTTTCGCTTCTGAGACTTCAGGAGGTGATGCACCCTGAATCTTACAACTATGTCCTGAACCGCCATCCTTGGCGAAGGTTTCTGGTACAGGCTTTTCAACTATGTCTTTCGACAATTTCTTGGACATCAAGAGTCCTACTGCCTCTTGGATGAGGACATCTAACGGGTTGCTGCAAAATTTGCACAGCCATGGAGATGATGGCTTGCAACATCTCTTATAGGCTACTGGTGTTAAACCAGTGCAAACTTTGTGGAACCAAAGGCTGCAGTTGTCACACTGCATCCCATCATCCACCGGAAAGTGGCAGTCCGGTCGACCACAATTGTTAGTTGGGGCCATAATTTTAATTTGTTACAACTATACAGTTATATATACGTGAAAACAGTGAGGTTAATGCCAAACAAATACACACTTATATATACGTGTGACAGCTAGGTAAATACCAACCAAAACACAAAATGTGAATAAAACAGACAACACTTAAACTAAATAAATCAGTTAAAGTGAACTAAAAGCTTCTGATGTGGTTTAAACAACAAAAGCAGAATTTACTTCACAACGTAAAAAATGCCACTTTCCTTTTTCAAAGCGCGCGCCATCATGAAGATAATTTCGAGATTTTGGGGGAGTAAGTCGAAAGAGATTCCTCATTTAAACTATGCATTCCTCGCAAATGGCATATTTTCGTAGGTTTTCATTATGTTCTTGGGGTGGGAGTTTCCACACTTCACTATTCGTTTGATGACTCCAGGTTTTCTGGAAGATTCCAATATCCTGATTACGAGCTAGTATAAACCAGTGATTTCTTTGAGCTCGCCTCTTGATTGTGAGGTAGAGGTTCCAGATCTTCGGTGAGCTTCTGCGTAGTAAGTCCCGCCACTCGACTGCTTTAGCTCTGGTAGACTCCAAGAGGAGTGGTGCGGGGATTGGTCAAGATGTGGTTTGTAGTATGCAGTATGTTAGGACTGTATTGCTGCCGTGAATGGAGTTTGACCTAACTCCCGTTGGTCATTCGGTGTAGTCAGAGAAGCAGAAAAGTAATAATAATAATAAAAGGTTGTAGTGTAGATAATATAGGTTGAGATAAGTGGAATAATAAAGGTGACCTAAGGAAAAGATAGAGTGAGAGAAGGCAGAATAGGTCGTGGGGATTTAGTTTGTACGCTTATCCATTGACAGCGTGGTTTTAAGTTTTATGAGGATAAGCCATTGAGACACAAACCTTGCATTTCTGCATGATTGTCTAGCTTCCGCTTAAAAATCTCCAGAGATGGCGCTGTAGTCACGGCCGCCGGTAAAGCGTTCCAGAGACGGCAAACTCGAAGCAAAAAGAAATGTGAGCGCACTCGAGTCTTTGGTCTCTGGTGTGCTATCCTTAGCGGGTTACCTCGTGGAAGCCTATAATCACTTAATGGCAGGATGCTTTTATTTGGGTGGGCCTGGTCATTTAAGATCTGGTAGACGGTTATGAGGTTTCTCCTGTGCCTACGGTAACTAAGTGTGAAAAGACCTAATTTCTTTAGTCGTTCCTCATATGATTTGTTGCGGAGGCCGATCACCCATTTTGTCGCTCGTCTCTGGACACTTTCTAGAATGTTAGCATCCCTTTTGAGTAGCGGAGGTGCAATGATATTATGCACCTCAAGGTGTGGCCTCACATATGCCTTATATAACCTTAAGAACAGTTCGGGAGTAAGAGCTCCCAGCTTCCTATGCATAAAGTGTAAAGTTGCGTAGGCTTTGGCGACGTCCCTCGCGTAATTTCCACTGGTGTCTAGCTTTTCTGTTAGAATAAGACCTAGATCGCGCTTTGATGGAACACAACTCAGGTTCTGGCCACCAAGGGTGTAATTTACACTCTGTGACCTGCCGGAATGAAGTTGCACTACTTTGCACTTCTTTAGGTTGAAAGGCATTCCGTTAGCCAGAGCCCAGTTTCCCAGAGTTTGCAGGTCAGCCTGCAATCTATCTGAGTCTTCCGATGAGTTTATTGCTCTCCACATCTTCACGTCGTCAGCGTAAAGAAGTGCAGAGCAGTTCAGTTGAGAGGGCAGGTTGTTGATAAAAATCAAAAACATCAACGGCCCTAAGATAGAACCCTGAGGAACCCCTGATGCCGAGGTGTGCCAGGATGATCGGATGCGGTTGACTTTGGTGCAGAATTCTCTCTCGCCTAAGTAATCTTTCGGCCATGCGAGAAGTGCTTCAGAAACACCCGCCTTGCTTATTTTGTGAAGGAGCAGACCATGGTGAACTGTGTCGAATGCTTTCGCAAAGTCGAGAAAGATCACATGGGCTGGTACTTTTTCGTCCCAGGATAGTGTCCAATCGTTCCAAGCTAGTAGAAGATTCGTCACGCAGGATCTTCCCCTCCTGAAACCGTGCTGTGCTTCGTGAAGAAGGTTAGTCGCATCGAAGTATTTTCTCATGTGGTCGTTAATGAGACTTTCCAATATTTTTGAAATCACTGGAAGTAGAGCAACTGGTCTGTAACTGGTCGCATTCTGCCGGTCACCACCCTTGAAGATAGGGGATAGGATTGCTCGTTTCCATTCACATGGAAGTTTCCCTACATCAAGGGAGTGTTGGAACAGATCACTTAGGGGTTGGCAGAGACTTTCTGAACACTGCTTCAGGACAGATGGTCTGGTGTCATCACAACCTGAAGACTTTCCCGAAGCCAACCTTCCCAATTTTGCAAGTACCAAGATTCGCAGAATCTTTTCACATCTGACTCTGGTGCTTATTTTAACGTTCTGCTAATAGTTTCTCCTCCGGGACAGTAGACTGTGTGAATTCACTTACCATCTTCAATTTTCTTTTGCTACCGTTGGGATTATTCATCTGTCTTTTGATCAAAAATGAATGACATTTCGTACATACTAGACACAGTTGTCACGTATAATGCAACAATTTCCTAACTTCATTTTGAAAGTTAACTTCGGGGTGCTATCTTGAGTTAGGAATTAAATTATGGGTTTTAGTAAAGACATGTAACCATAGTATGCATTCCAAATAATCTTACACATATGCTATGGTATACCACCATCCTGGTTTGATTCTAACCTTTTAAAGTACTCAAAAAGTATGTGCATAATCATTAAAGTCGCTACTTCCCTTGCAAGAAGTGATCTCACCTACCTTTTCTTGAGTAACTACTTGGGCGGCAGCCCCTAGTGATCATTTGAGAATTCATCTTAAAAAGGGCCAAGAAGTTGTGAGTGTAAATCGAGTCCTACACACCGACCGAGGCTGCGACTTGTAACCTGTATTATTAATAGGAGCTACATAGATAAACAGAGTTTTAGTGGAAATACTAATAACATAAGTGTCATTCCTTCCAGGCATCTTGTGTAGTATATGCCAATTGCATGTCTTAATGTGATCATTCGATGCTTTCAAATATTTTACTTGACTTATTCACCAAGAAGAGGCATCATTTCCCTACTTACTATTTCCTTGTTTGTCATCAATGTTTTATTTTATACGATGTTTGTCTACTGTGGGTTTTTCTCCAGGCACTTCACTCACCATCTGTTTGATTCAGATATTTGCATTTTCTTTATTCTTCACTGGGGATCTTACGCATCCATGCAGCTCTCATATCCAAAGTTTGAAAAGGCTTCACTCCTCTTCGTATTATGAACTCAGTCTGCGTAAATTATACATTTGGGTAAAAGTGCAGAGATTTACTGCAGATTATTAATAGCCTTCCCCACTATTTCACTGCATTTTGATTTCCAATGCTTTTTCAGTTAGATTAAAACTTTTCAAAGTCAGTAAAAAAAGTACCGACGTGTTATGTTTTTCATCGTAATTAACTCGTTAACAGTGTACTGCAGAATAAAATATACCTTGCTAGATGGCATTCAGTCACAACTTCATTTGACATTCGATTAATCTTTCAGCTAAGAACTTGTTTTTATCTTTGATTGTTCTTATGACAGCTTATCAATGATAGAGTTTGGTTTTTCTATTTCCTACTCTTAAACATATTACTGGATATTGGACTCTAAAAATGAAAGATATAATTATGACCAATACATTTTTCTTGAAACGTCATCAGTAAATAATAATATGCCACTACGTTTTTATTAGATATAATTATTCAATGATGTAATTTATGCGTACCTTCGAGCTAATTATTCTACATCGCGTAGTAGGCGGATATTCGTTGGCCTCAGAGTTTTCAATATTGATTTTCCATTTTAGACTGCATTGATTGCATTCTGTTACACAGCTTGTTAATGGATATTTTGGTTGCCAATTTCGTGTCATGATCGTGCGACATAAATAGCGTATAAATGGATTTATGGAAAAGCATTGAGGCGAACTTATCTTGGTTTGACCTATCTTCGGAGGTGCGTTCGCAACTGAACGATGATCCCAAAAAGTATGAAGAACAAATACTGCTGCACAGTCTTCGAAACCAACTACGCTATACAGGAAATATTGTGAATTTGGTAGGCAAAATATTTATATAATCTCAACTTAAGGTTATAAAACGTGAGAAAAAGTATTACGAAAAACTTATTGATTATGGAAAGCAAAATTATCTTCTGTATCCCTACCACCTTCAAGACAAAATAGTTCGTGGTTTGCAAGTCACTCCGTTCGTTTATTATCGTCGCATAATAATTGATCTAATTTCAACAGAAAAGTCGTATGACTGTCTCCCGAATTTCACTGCAGCAGATTGTTTGCGTCTGCTTGGATTGGCAGGAACCAGTATATTGATCTTATTAATACTTACAAAAGCTTTCTGTCGTCCATCGGTCCTGATGAACATGAACTCCAAGGACTTCTGTCTGATATCCTACCATCACAACCTGTTGATAAAATCGTATTTGAACCATGGCATATAGTTCACATAGGATCTGTTATGTTGTCTGACATCCAAACGTCTACGGATTCTGAGCGTATCATGATTGATCAGCTTATCGACGCGGAAAAAACCGGTGAATTGGAGATCAGTCTAAACAACTCTGGAATTTTAGTTAAGGATCTTGATCAAGATATCCTCAAAAGACTTTATCTGCGTGGATTAGTTTATATTGATATTCCAATATACAGTAGTGATAAAATATGTGTTCCGACACTTGAAGGTTTTGTTATGAATCGTATTAGTGGGGATATTAGAGAAAATCTGTTATATAAGATTTTCGTCACAGCTGATGAAAACACATCAATTAGTGAGCTTGCTGACTGTTTGCAAGTTGATGTAAATTCTGTGAAACAAGCTGCTTCTATATTCTGTCGGTTGGGTTTCGCCTATAAACGAGTTGGACGTGTGGATAGTCAGACAAAGTCGTCCAAAATTCCATCATCCAGCACCAATGAAGATGTATGTCCTACCTCAGAAGGCTCTACGGATGAAAAGTTAAACAGTTCAATATGTGCAGACGAACATCATCAACAAAAGAAAAAGTTGGTATTAATATTTGATTCTACCATTACTGCATATCTCATGATGGGCAATCTTTCATCCAACTTGAAACCACATGCTGTTACAATGTTCGAAGTAGGAAAATTATCTGATGATTCATTGAACTCCTTTTTGTCTGAATTAAATCATCTGGCTCCTGTTTCAGAGGGTGAAGCGAGAACGTATCGTGAACATGCTTTGAATTTAAGAGAAACGATCCTTTTCTTGCGCTCTCAGGCTTCACTAGAATCAACTGACTTTCATGATGTCGACTTAGTTAGAGGTGGTTCGTTATTGAGTTTAGAACCTGAAGCACGCAGGCGAGTTTTGCATAAAAATTACAGTGTAGTTGTAAGCCTAATTCCCTCTACTTATGAAGATCAGCAGGCTTCTGACTTTCAATGGCCAGCACACTTGGGGCCACCTATATCAGAAGCTAGTTCTCCATGGTTTGGTCTTTACACATCTTATGTTGCAAGTAATGCAATTGAAGGGAAGCAGGATTCTTGTGTTACTGTTCTACCAACTCTCTTAATGACTTGCGGTACCCGAATATACAGACTTCCATCATGTTTAGAAGGTATTTCATGCTTTTGGATCACTGCCTGGGGTCATGAACCTGTAGTTGTCGAAGCAGTCAACTTTTTAACTATGGCCAATGATATGCTGTTATCATCTCCTATTCTTATCCAGGTGAGCTGTTAGTTTGCTTCAAGAGCTGATTTTAAAATAAAATTTTGTTTTCTCATATTTATTTTATTTATTTTTATTTGATTACAGCTTGATTCCACACTGTTTTTTGGTACAAGTATGGAATTTTCAGCATGGGTATCGGTAGCCCGAATTTCGCAGGCCGACCATAGATATCAGGTGTGCGTCGGCATGGGATCGAACCTCGGACCATGTGCATGGTCGGCGAGAGTCCTAACCACTGTGTCACCAGTCTGAAAATAAAAAATATCCTGTTTTGGTTTCGAGTTATTTCCTTTTATGGATAAGATTTTATTTTGATAAGTCACTCATACACACGTTTTCTTCATGTGCTCTTTCGAGGTGTGACAGACTGAACTGATACACATTCGTGCGAATTTCTGCATTGATTCATCTTTCGATCATTTAGCAGTCCTAACGCTCGTTAGCAAATGAATTAAGATACCTATGGCTAGAAATTGTCTTTTAACAGTCGTACATAAGTCATAAAGTATGACAAGATGGACTGCTATTGTACAGTGTACTTTTCCCTTCCCAGATAGTCCAACATGATACCAATACAGGTTAGCCAACTCAAACTGACTTCTTTTTATCTTCGTTAAGGTTTTGTTAGTGACCTGTTAATTAAGGTAGTCAACTCATTTGATCATTTCATTACCTATCCTTAAACTGATACTTGAATCAAATCAGTTTTGCAACATTTTCCGTTTGATAGAAACCCATCGCATAACATACGAACTTAAAGTATAGTATGGTGTTGACTCCATACACAAGAAAGTGTTGGATATTGTCGAAACAATTTAAACGACACTTCATTTGCCGTTATTGTTTTGGTGTAGTTGAAAAACTATGTAGTATGGGTTAGTTTTATTTCAGGTATTCCTATCAGTGGCTTGCAGTAAAAATGTGAAAAGCGATTGCTTATTTTAAGATCTTCTAGGTTGTCATTCTGTATCGATGTTCGTGCATCCACTGTTATTTTCCACACTTAACCTTGGAACTCTCATAGGTGGTTTATTATTTATTTATTTGTTTATTTATTTAAAACACAAACTTGGTACACTATGGGCACCAAGGGTTTACAAACAATATATAAAGAAAATAAGCAGAGAATGGATGAGGGACGTTATCCAGAAAGGAAGAAAGCACATTTATCAAGACTAAACAACATTCCTTACTTCATGGTAATTTCAGAGAGGGAAGAAGGAAGGAATTTGCAGCATGTTCGCCATAGATTGACTTTTGGGCGTATCTGATAAAGTATAGAGCCATCGGTTTGAACAGTCTTTTGGACTCCAACCACAGAGTCGTGATATAGCAAATGATGCTAACCTAACAGAAATATCCTTCACCCCACGACACTAAGTGATAGGCTGACCACCTTTCCTCTTTTTCAATCCAGTCCCAGGGGACGGAAGCCTCTAAGATGACAATCGTAGCACATGTTCAGTCTACCGAAGATGATGCCTTCAGATGACAACACGCAATGAATGGTGATCTATACCGTGGCCAAACACACGCTGCTGGGCTTTGGAATCGCTCATACGATGATGCCATTGGACGCAAGCAATTATACGGGAAGGTGATGATTGAATACACAGAGTTACGTCACATCCTCAACTCAGATGGGCCAGGCTTCACAGGCGTATATCAAGACTGTGCGCACCGAAACACTGTAAACCCGACTTTGGGCAGTCAGACTGAGGTCACGACGAAGCCATAGGTGGGCCAAGTTAGCGTATGACAACAAAGCTTTGAATATGTGGTTAGACATCTTGTCTGCATCACACCACTTCTAGCTGTCACATAACTACCTAGATACACGAACTTGTCGAGACCTTCAAGCGGTTTAGGCAGAAAGTGGTCTAAACGTTTAGTCATGAGATTGTTGTGATATCTAGAGGTTTCTTAGGTTTGGATAAAATCTAAATCCATAGGTTTCTCTATTTCCTTTTTAAATTTTCTAATATTATTTAAGTTTTCACTCAGATTGTGGTGATAAATTAAGCTTAAAGTGATTGGAATCGATTACTACTCAGATGAATATGAATCAGCCTTTTAATTACTTCGTTTAATTTGTTTTCTTCCATTATATAGGCCATCGATATTTACGAATATGAGAAGACTTTAACTCAAAGATACATACCCCTGCCGCTATCCAAAGAATTTTTACACGGTTCATCTGGTAACATACCGGAATTCATTAAACATACTATGAAGGTCATTGATTTGACTTGTGTTTCAGGTTATATCACAGTATTGGCTCCCATAAATAAACATGAATATGATCGAAATGTTGACACATTGACACAAGATGATGATCAGCTGGCCTCCTCACCAGCTGGCGCAGATTTTCCTTTGTTAAGTGAACATGAAGAAAATGAATATAATTCGTCTGGAAAAGTTGTTTTAGATGAAAATGAACTAATCACAATTATGAATGAACGCAAGCCAATTTATTTTATTACATTACAATTAGGCTTGCCTATTTTTAATACTGAATTGAATCGTGCAGTTTGTACACAAATTTCTAATCAAAACTTATTATCTACTACCAATCGTGATCATATAGTAGATAATAATAGTCTTATTGTTAAAGAATTTGAGAAATTCATGTTTGAACACTGTTCAGCACTTTTACCTAAGCAAAATCAACGTAGTTATTCAACACTTGTAACTAGTTCTGGTGGTAATCTTCCTGATACTTGGCCTCTTCCTACTAAGAAGTTGACTTGTGCCAACGGTACCTTGTCGTTTTCATAAAACATATAAAATGCTGTGCTATTGTGCTATTCTACCTGTAATTCAACATATCCATATGGTTTATTAAGTGATTTCTTCACTGCTTAATATCACCTTTTTTATTTTGTTATTTAATGTGTACTATTTTTATTTTGTGAATAATAACTTCTATGGATTATTTTTTACTCAAACGTGCCTTATTTTTCTTTATTTTTGTCTTTGTTTTGTTCCGATTCGTTAGGTTTCATTTTTGTTCTGATTGATCTGTGCTATTTTTTTCGCGCCATTATTATCCAATTGATAATTTATATTGTGTGCTAATCATGGTACTAAAGCGTATTCAGATCTATCAGGAAGTTTTTTGTCCTGTATACAATGATAGCTTGATGGTTTTTAATTGTTGTTTGAAAATTCGAGCTAGAAGTGGTCGGTGATAATAACTGATATTTGAAAGTAAGCCTGGGTCTCACGGATTGACTTGTTACCACTAGGGAATAATCTCATTGACTTAGAATATACAGATGATGTAGTCCCTCTAGGTGAAGACGCTGACATAATCTAGCAGAGTCTCCTGAACACCTTGGGCTGCAATCTACGTATGTTTCGCTTGTGATTCGCCCCCGCCAAATGTAAGGTGATGCCACAGGACTGGACTGGACTGCACTGACTCTAGCTTAGAAATAGGGAGTGAAGTGGTAGCTGAGTGTGTTGACCACTTCACTTATTTGGGAAGCTACATCCGCCAACTCCGGTGGGTTGATTTCTGACGAAATCTCAGCTCGAATACAGAAGGCTCGGTTCGCATATGCCAGTTTACGCCGTGTCTGGCGTAGTCATGATATCCGGCTGACTGTCAACCAAAGGGCGTGTGTACTGCTCAGCAATCCGCTCCGTCCTCCTTTATGGTTGTGAGTGAGTCCTGACCATTGAAAAGGCTGGCTAGCTGTCTTTGATCATAGGTGTCTGTACTCTACCTCCCGTGTTAAGTGGTATAACAAGATGAGCAATGTTGAGGTTAAGCATCGCTCGAGTGCTTGGCAATGAGGGGAAATCAATCGACGAGGTTGTGAAGTTACATAGATTGAGATAGTTAGGACATGTACTACTCATGCCTAGCCACAACCTTCTTCAACGGTCAATGTTAACTGACATGGGATGGATCAGGTTGGTAAAGAGAAAACTAGTGGTGGTCAAACCAGAAAATGGCTTCATCAATCAATGAAATCTTTGGCACTTGTTTTGTCCATGTAGGCAGGTGTAGACCTCCTGACTGGTTGTAGTCTTCGGGATGGTAAAAACCAGTGAATGGAGACAATTGGTGATATGGCTCAAAATCGTTCTCATTGTCGAAGATGCATTCACTATTTGTGATTCATAATATCCAATGAAAATCTACTGGTCTTCCATATTACTAATCTTTTTTGCCTCATATCTCTGTTTATCATCTCTCTTTTGAATCTTTCTTTACTCTTTCCTCTTGTCTTATGTGCTGCATGGAAGGAGTATGGCAACTGGAACTGCTTCATATCGGTGCAAAGTTCTACATTGAAACCAGTCAGTCAAGCCTGCGCATCTACAGGCAGTAAACCACCAGCCTTTTGATTAGCAGCCTGACATAACTTACAGTCGTCTAAATGAGTAGTGGATGAGACTATCTGTTCAACACTACAGCACCTGCATAAAGACGTTATTTCAACTAAATCGATATTCACGTGGATTTGAAAGCGGAGGCTATTAGACAACTGTTCATAGTTAATTGAAATAGCTCTGGCTTCATAGACTGATTCGTCCTAGAAAGTTTAGTCAGTAGTTGAGCCTCAAATTTTTAGATGGTTGAAAGCGAGAAGCCTTGGACCTAGGTTTTTTGCTTGATGGCACTCCACCACTTAGCAAGGCGTATCTGCGATCTTGAAGGAACTCGTGTGCCTTCTGATATTTCAACCTGTGTCACCTAGTACTGCACTGAGAGAAGTTATCACTGAGCTATTCGGGCTAACCATTGATCTTTTGTAGGACTGTATTAGATAAATTGGTTCGACACTAGTTAGTAACTAGTATCATGTGTCTAGTCCGTTGTTTGGTGCGGACTGAATTCTATCAGTCAAGTTCGCAATGTGACTGCTTGCCATCTGTTGCAGTTGCTGGCAAGTGGTAATACAACCACAAAACCTAGGTCTAGGCAGATTTTTCTGCCAATTGCCTCTAACTGTCTAATATCAGCAATTCAGAGTCTACCGTAGCGGCCACCCACATACCATGGTGATCACATTTGCAAACTTGACTTATTTAATTGGGTCTACACCAAATAAATGTCAAGACGTATGAGACTAGTTATTGTCCAATCAAATTGAGTTTCAAATTATTCCATAGACTTAATAAAATAAATGAAACCTTCTGATCATGAAATATCGTGCCTGGTGTTGCAGTAGTGTACCTGACTGAAGATAATATTTTAGCGCATCCTGATATCCGATGTTTAATGTTTTTTTCATCACCAAGTTAGGTGAAGTCAGAAATTAAATTAGTTACCTTCAAGATTCATAGTCAATGATCATTCAATGAGTGTTTGTCAACATGGTGTATATTGGGTTAATTATTTTAAAGAAGCAAAGTTATTATATCGGGTTGTCTTGAAGATTTTTCAGAAGCTTTTCTCAGTCTATTTCACTAACTAAGGTATTGATGTGACATACAACTAACCAAATGACTATAACTTTCAAAACTAATTGTAAAAGTTTCCAACATTATTTCCCTTATCAATACATTCATGAGATATAGTTTGTGATTGTCAGCTAACTGCTGAAGAACAGAATTTCACTGAGTAAAATAAATACTTATGGACATGTTCAGCTTCTGTTGGAATAACGCACGGATTTAAAATGCAATCGTAGTGCTGTATCAAATCAGCAGCCAAAAAATCCATGGAATAGGACCTAATGTAAGGGGTGCTAAGAAGAAACCATTTGACTAGGAATAAGAGAAACATTAATTCTTTGGTAAAGGATACATGCACACTATTGAAAATATGCTGTTTCTAGGGTAATGGTTATATAAAGATTGAATTCTTGGAATTTACAAAGTTTATATAGTGAAACAAACAAAGAAATCCGTCCAGAGCTACATGTCTCACTACTTTCTCGACTACTACTACCTTGTCTGATGTTACAAATGAATACGATTTTGATTGATTTACTCAACAATCGTTGTCAGTGGAATTCAGAACACTCATTTTGTCGTATTTTTCGCTGGTGCATATGAATAAGTGATTTGGTCTCTATTGACACCTGAATCGAGTATTTGTATGTTTAAGTAAGCTGTTATAACCAATAAGCTAATATTTGTGTGAAATGCATCCATTTTACCAGTGGGTATATTTGTTGAAGTTTTAACAGACTCTTAACATTGTGAAAAGTTTTATTTACAATAAAAAAACCATGTTCATCAAGTGGTTCAATAAATCTGAAGAGTAATAGTTTGTATATGCGTGTGTCATTCGTGTTTTATTCAGTTGTCGATATGGTTTGCACACATTTTCTACTTAAATCATTATAATAACTAAGAAGTCTGACATTGTGCAATTAGGGGTTAGAAATGTAGAAATAACAAAATAGACAGGATGTTTGGATAAAAACTAATGTGATGAATAATTGTTTATGCAATCAGGATTAAATGTGTAGAAATAGTAAAATGACAAAATAAACACTAAGTTCGGGTAAGAAAATATGGTAGTGTAAACAGGGATTAAGAAAACTTGAAATAACATGAATAAACAGGAAGTTTAGATAAGAAAGGCGATGGGATGGTCATTACTAAAAATTACTTGTTTATGATGGCCCTGTCCTTGCCATGGCCATCATAAACAAGTAATTTTTAGTAATGACCATCCCATCGCCTTTCTTATCTAAACTTCCTGTTTATTCATGTTATTTCAAGTTTTTCTTAATCCCTGTTTACACTACCATATTTTCTTACCCGAACTTAGTGTTTATTTTGTCATTTTACTATTCCTACACATTTAATCCCTGATTGCATAAACAATTATTCATCACATTAGTTTTTATCCAAACATCCTGTCTATTTTGTTATTTCTACATTTCTAACCCCTAATTGCACAATGTCAGTCTTCTTAGTTATTTTAATGCTATTTTGTTTGTTTTATCCATCCCCCTGTTTATTATGGCATTCTAATTCCCAATTTTAATTTTTATTAATTAAATCATTATATTTTATAGCATACTGAATAAGCGAGAGATAATGACGATCAGACTTCTCTAGCATTATCAAGTGATGGTTTGCAGGGATTCGATTGGTTACGGCTTTGTTCACGAGTTGACATTGGTTGAAGAACCATTGAAGAACTAAGGTGTACTTGACACCCGTTTCGTCTTAGTTTGGGACCCTTCATCAGTATCCACCCATCGGGGTTGGAACCCAGAACCTTCCGGTTAGAAAGCGAACTCGTTGAAAATTCAACCACTGGGACTCGATCCAATGGCCCATGAATTACAAATTCTGACTATTCGCAATATATATATATATAATATAGGTTGCATTGTCACCTTTTGGTGTTAATTTTAGCCTGTGAAGACTCTAATCACTAGACATATCTTGTTTTAGAGTAGTGTTTTCTGCAGTTATCGATTTCAACAAAAATATAAGCTTGAATTTTTCAATTCTTTATAATTTCAACGCTATGTTTAATTGTGAATATTACAATGTATATGGGTGGGATTCCAAGGATTTTTAGCAGCTATTCAAATGTCTGAGTTTTCTTATCCTACTGCTTGTTCTCTACGATTTATTGTATATTATTTGCGTCTACTGTTAAAGCTATAGTGGTCTGCGTGAATATGTTTTCTAAGAAATTTCAACTTAGTGAAATCGTTAAATGCTGGATAGCCATCTACTTTATTTACTGGCCTTCAGTCCCACTGTCTCTTTCCGTATGTGTGTATGTGTGGGTTCTTCAGATATGTTGAAAGTATCTTCTACAAGATGTAGTGAATTATTCTCAAAAAAGC